ACCTCAGTCAGGGTAGCCGAGTAGTCTAACCACTCGTTGTGCCGACTTGGCCGTATTTGGGGACGGCCTCGGCTAGTCTGCTGAACATCGGTCGCCCTCGGTTGCCCTTGGGCGACCTCTGGCAGCCCTCGTTCGGCACGAGTCCCACTGGACACAACCAAGCTAACTGAGGGCGGAGGCCTGCGCAAGCGCAAGCATCGTCCCTACCTCTCTCCAGGCTGTGCCGGGGGGGCTCCGGAGCCGGAACGACTGTCACCACCTACCTCTGCCCTACCTCAGACTCAACACACTCTCCTCCGTTCTTCCACTCCCTCTCCTCGGCTCTCAAAGCCAACCAACCAACCAACCAAAAAGCTAACTGAGGGCGGAGGCCTGCGCAAGCGCAAGCATCGTCCCTACCTAGGTGAAACCATTCCTGCACACAAGGCGCATTGCTGGAAATGGTAAACAGTCTTAATATAAGAAACGGAAATTTTGCTATCGCTAACAGGGTTACGTCGTGGCGGGAGCCTCGACCATTCAAACGATGGGAGGTCAGCCCGTCAGGCAAGTTGTCCAAAGGAATTTGGTTGGTTGGATCTCCGGGGTTTGAACCCAGAGAGGGAGGAGCCGTTTCGGCTGAAGGCCTCTGCGGCATGGAAGAAAGATCACTTCAGCTGATGGCCTCCGTGATCGGGGTGGCGGGCCGTGCCCCTATTAAGTTATACCCTGGCATTCGCCTTACAACTGAGGAAAAGCACGGAAAACCTCAGTCAGGGTAGCCGAGTAGTCTAACCACTCGTTGTGCCGACTTGGCCGTCTTTTGGGGACGGCCTCGGCTGGAATGCTGAACATCGGTCGCCCTCGGTTGCCCTTGTCAATCGGCTTTTATACAAATGCAACAATGCCAATAAACAGACGCAACAATGTAGACACAACAATGTCAATAATAATACAATGCATGAATACAACAATGTCATTAAACAGTTCAACAATGCAAACCCCAACACATCACAATATTATAATTAATTCTGACAATATCGTTGTTAAATGTTGCATATGATGGAACTAAATAAGCAATAAACCTATGTACTGTTAAATATTCTGAAGGAACAAACTGCATAATTTTCCTTACACTGACAAATACCAATTGGTACCCAGGCCCTTTCCAGATTTTGACTGGTCAGGTCAAGGCTCTGCCTAGACTCAGTTTCCTACATCTCAAACTGATTCCACACATGCAGCTTACTCAGGCAGCAAGGACTTCCAAAACACTGGTAAACTTATACAGACTACACAGTGCTGCAACCCAGAAGACAGCCATCTTCAGACTCACCACTGTGAAAACCTCAAATCCTACATGGTTGACCCAGGTCAGCAGTCTGATCGAAACATAGAAAACTTAACCCTCACTTCAGCCATTCATGTGGTTTTATTCTAAAGTTGCAGATAGACACAAGCATCCCATGTACCATTCTGCTTATGGTTTACATAACTATAGGTATCCATAGTGTATAAAGCCACTGGGCTGGATTATATTTGCATATCAGAAATGCCACAAGACGTTTCAAAAGGGGCTGCAGCCAAGAAAGAAACAACATTACAAAACTGATGTTGGAACCAAAATTATAAATGTACACAAAACCATCAGAAACCTGAAAAATGGACATAGACAACACAGGTTATTTCTCTTTCAGGGTCTCAAATAAAATATAAGGTATAATCTGTGCAACAAAAATCAAGCACTTGAAATTTTCTAAGCCCCAAACTGGAAGTGACACAGGCATACAGCTGGCTTATAATTCCAGTCATTTGTAATCTTGTATTTGTCTGTATGTCGTTTTTCTGTACCTTACATCAACTACAACGCTACGTCTTTCAAACAAAGACACCAATATGTCTGCTTAGTTTGAAGAAATACATGGATTTATGTCAATGATTTTTCTGAGTCCTCTGATGGCAAAACAGAGGTGAAAGCTGTACTTTGCTTGGTTTCCCACTTTCCTTATAGACCACTTGGTAGAGGGCATTGATGTGAAGATCACATTTGAAAGTTTGAGTTCTGGTGTCCATTTGTATTTCTTTAATGTGTGTTGTATTTGCACAAATATGCCTATTCATAAGAACTTTGCACTTGATATATTATTTAACTTTCAAAGCTTCCATGCAAAACTTGTACCAAGAGTAACTGGAAATGGATATTGAAATATGCATATAATGTTATTCAAAAAAGAATGTCTAATGTTGTTTGTTAAGCAAAATGTAATTGTCAGCATTATCATTCACATTAGCACTGTATTATTTTTGGTGCATTGGTGAAGCTACAAGTTTGAGGGAAGCAGGAATTTCTTTTATTTTTCTATGATTTATTGCTCATCATCATTATAATATAAGGGTTGTGTGTTCAAATCTGACTATAGACAGACAATTTTATTTGCAAAATACATTCGTTGGAGTTCACAGGAACATTAAAAACGACCTCCAGGCCCACTGTCATTTGAAAATGGGCACACAGACACATGGATGGACCCATAAGATATTCTTCGCTCATACCACAGCATGATGAAAACCAAAGGGAGCATGCAAAGCTTATAAAGCAGTATAATAAATTCTTCTTGGGCTACCAGGTGTGTAGGGTGGCTTAATATAGAAAACACCATTTCAAGAACAAATCTTCATCCTCGTCTCTCTGAGGACAAAGATGATTCTCAAAACATTGGTGTTTTCTTCTTTAAGGCACCTCACAAGGTGAGAAGAATTTATTATACTTGGTCGCCATGAAAGCTTCAGATCATACATCACTAAATTTACCAAGTAGTGATGAAAATACTTCTTAGCAATGATTAATCACTCATCTATCCTCAATTGTTTCATTAGCTTCTCAAGGCTTATGTGGAACTGACATAATTCTGAGTCCATCCATGCCAAGATGAATGAGATCTATGGTTGAAACCCAAAGATTCTAGATGTATTATTAAAAATGCCAGGTCTTGAAAACAGGCCTTTTAATTGCTAACATACTAATTCATATTTTTTATGTCATTGGTATACTTTTATGAAACAAAAACAATTCTTAAGTATTTGTTTTTTGCAGATAAAATAATTTATGTATGGTAAGATTTCAACAACCTTTAAATCATAATGACAAGTAAATAAAATAGAAAAATACCCACTTCCCTACTGATTACTTTTTTCTTGTTTTCAAAAACTGGTTACTGGACTGCATGTATTTCGCAGATAAACACAAATTAGAGATTGTTTCATGAATATCAAAATCTGCATATTTCAGTATCCATTTCCACTTTGAAATATTAAGAGTTAAATAATATAACAATTCCACAATTTTAATGAGGCATATTTGTGTGAATACAACACATTAAAAAGATATATTTGGACACTGGGACTTCAACATGCAAATTTGACCTTCACAATAACGCTAGTCCCCTACCCTACTGACTGGTGTATGAGGGAACATGGGCAACCAACTGATATGAACAGCTTTCACCTCCTTTTTGCCATCGGAGGACCTTTCGGTCATAAACATTAATTCATGTTCTTCAATTTAAGCAGACATATTTGTGTGTCTGTTTAATAGACATGTGACATATATTATTGTAATTAATGGAAGGCATACAAGAGCCACACATGGACAAATACAAGGAGATTACAAATGACTGGAATTATGGGGCCAGCTGTGTGCTTACATCACTTCAATTTTGGGACTTAGTAAATTTCAAGCACTTTATTTTTGTTCCACACAATATACAAACAAATATTTAAAAATGTTGTCACTGGGAAAGGTGCGATTTAATGTGCATCATAACGTGTAACAAAATCTTACATCAGGATGGATGGCATTCCAATCTCAATCCCACCAGCGACCCCATAAATATGTATGATCATCACTATTATTACCATGTACCAACAGCAGAAGATTTCATTTACATTTTTCATCTTGCTGAAGAGAAATTTAGACATAAAACAGAAGTAATGTTTCATAAGACAACACAGACTAGAAAGAAAGAACACAGTAAAAACAGCAGTAAAAGTTTGTGGGGACTGGATGACCACTTCTTATAACTTCCAACATACCTTGACCTCCATACAGTGAAATTGCGAGTTCATACTTCTTTAGATAGAGGTTGCATTCTATATCAGGTCATATGACGGCACAGGTATTTAGTGATAAGCTTCTCACTGTGGCAGGCAGCCTAGGTTTGTACCAGGTCAGTCCAATGGGATTTATGGTGGCAGTGGGATGGGACAGGCTTTTCTCCCGAGTTATTTGGTTTTCCTTGTCAGTATCATTCCACCACTGTTCCAAATTCATTTATGTTTTATTTTAGGGATGGACAATGTGCCCATTAGTGGCCACAGTTTCGAGACATAGGCTCACCCCATCATAACATAACAACAGTCTATATTAATAGTTGAACATGTTTGTTTAATGAGTTCATTACACTTCGTTGCCATGAAAACTTTAGATCATACAATATGTTTGTTGTCACATTAAGCTTTTAACTAACATTTTGATCTACTTGACTAATCACACAGTGAAAAAGTCCTTGAGGAGCTGACAGTCACTCAGCTGGTTAAGAGTCCAGATATGAGGATACACTATTTCTTGAATATCTGTTGTGGTTGTCTTCCCATCTACGAGGTCTTCCAAGTGACTTATGTTCAGGTTCGCAAATCAATTTTTGTATGTATTTACCATCTCTTTCATACATGCTCCTTACTTCACCCTATTAATATTTAATGAAGAGTACAATTATGAATCTCTTCATTATATAGCATCCATTTTCTTGTTACATCCTCGCTCTTAGTTCAAAATACTCTCCAACAGAATTCTGCCCTCAATCTATATTCTTAATTTAAGGTGCAAGACCAAGTTTCACGACCAATCAAAATAAGAGGTAAAATTGTAGTTTTGTGTATACTTCCTATATATCTTCTTCACCAAAGAAATTTTATCTTTGCTCTACATTTTGTCTTACAATTGAACCTTATTCAATATATCTGATAATTTGTATTGAGTTCTTAACTGCAACATCTAACCTAGTGTAAATGCAACTGTTTCTCTAATTCCAATAGTTCAAGTTCAGTCTGACAGAATCAAAACAGGAATCTACAGAGCACAGATTTAATGTATTTCTAATTATAACATATGTCTTTGCTGGTGCTTGTTACAGTCCCCTCTTTGTTTGAAGCCACGGCCACAAACTTTGCAAGCGTAGGGGCGTTCTCCAGTGTGTGTGCGCATGTGAGTGCACAGTATATCCTGACGTCTAAATCTATTACCGCACTGGGGGCACTCATATGGCCGATAGTCTGTATGAAACAGGAGATGCTGCCTGAGGCTGTGTCTCGAACGATATGCCTTATCACACTGAGTACACTTGAAAGGTGTTTCCCCCGTGTGTATACGTTCATGGATAATGAGAATCTGTTTGGACTGAAATGCCTCACCACAATATTGACATGAATAGGGCTTCTCTCCAGTATGCACACGTTGATGTGTCTGCAGAGTTGACTTCATAGTGAAACTCTTTCCACAAATCTCACAAATGAAAGGTTTGTCATCTGCATGCAACATCACATGGTTCTTAAGAGTAAACTTGCTTGCTAGCTGTTTTCCACATATCTGGCACATGAATGCTAATGGATCTCTTCCTTGTAGAACTTGCTGTTTAGATGCTTCCTCAATTTCCTCCTGCGTATGAGTTCTACGGTGCATGAGGAGTTCTCCCACACCAAGAAATGGACACTTACATATTTTGCAAGTGTATTTTAATGATCGTTGATGAGTTCTAATATGCACTCTCATGTACTGCTGACGGTTAAACCCTTTTCCACAAACAGGGCATTTATACTGACCAGCATTAACATGGATTAACTTGTGATTTGATAGTTGCCTTCTCATACGAAATCTTCTTCCACACTGTGTACATTCATAAGGACAATTATTTTTGTGCTGCTGCATGTGATCAGCAAGAAAATACCTGCAACACAATACACAAAATACTTAATGGATGAAGGTACATTATGATATATATATATATACACACACACATATATGCGAGGCTGCATAATAGCACACATCTAATTATGTGCAATGAATCACACACGACAGGCAAATAAAATAATGACTATGACTTGATCACAGCAAGAGAAGGAAAGGCTTCTCTTTGCCATGATATCTACACTGCCGAACTAACTAGCCTTCTGTCCAATGGGTATGGTGGTGGGGGGGTAAAGTGGCCAAACTCTGAAGCTGACAACTTGCCATCAAGTACCGAGGTTAAGAATATGTAGCGCTTTAGTGGTTGGGCAGAGGAACAACTTTACCTCAAATATGCCATATGTGTATATGCATTCTGCATTTCTTAGTCACATGAACAATCATCACCTGACATGCTTAATTTTGGTACATAAGTCCTTTACTTTTTATATGTTTCATATTGCTTATATACAATACCATACATCCAGCCTCCATAATGGTGCAAGGAACAGGCTAAAATATGTACATTTTTAGAACTAAATTTCCTTTGCGTCCTAGGTGAGGATCAAGGTTGTGATGACATACTGATGTAATACACCATCAAGGATATCTGTTCACCACAAATGCAACATGCAATGCCCGTGGACTGAAGCCGCATGTCAGTTGTGAGTATTTAACTGCCTGAGTTATGGCACAGCACCAAAATCTGCTTCATTCTAGAAATACAAAACAGAATCTCCTTCTATCTCACTATTTTGTGGCGAGGGGACGCAAACCCATCTTCCCTCCTTTCCCTGTGGTGCTGAATGCCCATTTTCTCTAGTCTGATCCTCCTCTTAATCTTATACAAAGTACAGACTTCTTATATCATACCTGAACTTCTGAAGATGTCAGTGTTGGTCTTTTGGGATGTAACAATGTGGACTTGTTGGCAGATTCCAATGTTTCAGACGAACATACTAGCGTTCAGGGTTGAAAATGAAATGCTGGTATCTACGTACAAGACCACACAGTGCTACAGTCCAGAAGACCAATATCAATGTTCACTTCCTGATCCCCCCTAAGTCCTCAAGATGGAGGAAGTAGGTTCTTTCAAGATGTTGGCACGCATTGTTAGACTGATTGTGTGAGAAGTTGTTGCAATAAAGGGAGGATGTTATATTTAGCAGTCACAGAAATTGTAATCTAAGAAAAGGATTATTATTGAATTCAAATTTATAACTCTTTGTCTGAATGAGTAGGCTATGACTCAGTTTTACTACGATCTTATATACGAAACATAACTACATCACAGCCCAATGTCAGAAAAGTAGACATGACAAATTTTACTTCTTACAGGCGGTCTTATTCTTGGAATTGAAACATGAAAATGGACAGAAATTTGTCTAAAGGGTGACCACGTAAGGCTAGAAGTAAAGAGAAAGGTTGGTTTGAGGTATATATGAATCAAAGGAAATGGCCAATTAAAAAAGTATGATGGTGATAAATGTATTTTGTTTGAATATTGTCCATTGTCTAAATAGAAATGTATCGATCATTTTTAGAAGCTGCCTTTATCTCCACATTCGTGTACAATGAGAGGACATCTATTCTGTGAAGCCCGTTCAAAAGAACTAGTCCTCATCATTAGGTAACAAGAAGTCAAATAAATGTTTACCAAAATCCTTTATACCTTATTTAAATATTTGTGCCCTGACAGATGGCTGTCAGTATGTGAAATAATTTCAGAACTGTTCACTGATATCAGATACAGCAGAGAATATCATGCTTATAGACTGGGTAAAATAACATTTCAATTCTTTTGAGAAATGAAATTACTACAGATGATTACTTTCATAAACTAATTCTTCATTCATCAGGGAAGAAATATTTTAGTTGGCTGGTTAAACAGAACTGTTTTTCCTCAGTATGTTAGCTGATTCCTAATGCGGCCAGGGATGGATAAACCCTTCCTGGTCTTTGCCAACCCTAAGCAAGTGTACAATCCATTTCTTAGGTAGGGGCAACAAAAGAGTGAATTCTGTCACCACTACTGATAGGGTGATGACATAGAATGGTCAGCAGAGGAGATCTACAGTTTAACATGGATTCCAAACTATGGTGGGGGGCCTGGAACACTTCACTTTCCCGAAGTAAGCGAAAGAATGATCACACAGATCTGATCAGAGGTTGAACCTAGACCCCCTGATAAGAGTACAATCTCTTACCTTACCTTAGTAAATTGGATATTTGTATTTGTACACAATATAAGTATTAGCACAGACATGTGAAAAGGTAATGTCTGTAGATAAACTAACCACCATACCATGAAAAAGATATGATTCTAGATGGGCCCCAAAACCAATCTGGATCTGATCACAATAATAAAAATTCCTTACCAACAGCAATGAAACACCAATCACAACACTGAATGAACTATTCTTACAACTACTGAAGTAAAGCTGTCCACTTAAAATTCTTCATTGTCAGGACTTCTTCCATCGCCAGTTCTTTAAAACCACGACGAGTAGGTACCTCTCACCTGAAGATGGAGACAGAACCAGCCTCTGAAACATCGTGGTTTTAAAGAACAGACGATGGAAAAAGTCCTGACAATGAATAATTGTAAGTGTAAACTACCTCGTCAAAACCCTTTAGAACTGAATAAAGCTGTCCAGATACAAGCCACGGAGGCACTTGCGGGTACGGGAGGTACAGCTCCTACTCATTCTTCACCTTGACATTAGATGGGGTTAAGAGGTCAGTGGACACAACTGACCCCTACGGAAAGGACCCCTAGTAAGTACTGGATAGCTGGGTGAACCCCTGAGCTGGCTAGAAGAAAAATCCTTCATTCATACACAAGTGAGAAAGAAGTAAAATTTAGAAGACACGGGCTTACAAAGAAAACAACAGACTATTTTGGCCTTACTGTAAACTCATTTGATGATAAACAGAGAGCGAAGGAGATTCTGAAATTCTTATTCTTGTTTTTCTCTGAAGGCTCACAAACACTTAACAAAACAAATAGCATACTCCATCACATACTTAAAACACATAATTCTTCAAAAATTCCATAAAAAGAATCAGGTGATTCACGCAGGTATGGTCTGTTGTGGAAAATATCATAAATAAAATAATCTGTGGCGTAACAGCCCTCTGAGAGCCAAAGTCGACTAGCTGGCTGCTGGCCTCACGTTCACATGCCTAAGCATAGGTGAACGATCATCCAACCAGATATAGGGTGACGTGTGGTCAGCACGATGAACCCCCAGCCATTGCTAGTTTTCGTGACCGGATTACGCTACCCATTGTAGCTCCCCAATTTCCTCACGATGCTGGGTTGGCACCGGTCCCATACACTGGTTGAAAATCTCATGAGAAATTTCTTTCCCCGAGACACGAACCAGCGCACATTCCGTATCACCGGAGGCAAAATAAGAAAATACATCAATTGTGTGTGAAAGTTCTATTTTTTACAGCTGCAAGTATGAAGGTGAATGTCTCTGGGATGTTACACCACATAGTCTGCAACTATGCGGTGCAACATACCAGAAGACAATCATCTTAAAACCAATTTTATTTCAATAGAATTATTAAAAAAAATACAAATAATAAATGTAAGTGCACTTGACCTGTCTATGAAACCAAAACGTTTTCTCCAAAAATCTATGCAGTCAAGTATGAAGTCAACTGGTAATAAAAAACAGCTTATTATTTTCATTTAAACTTTTCCTGTATTAGTGACTGAATTTACATCATCCCATCATGCTTCTTTGCAGTGACAATATATCGAATGTCGTATCTTCATGGCTGTAAGGCTGCACCACAAATTACATAATGTGGCAAAGACAGAATGATCTTCACTGAACCATATCAAATACAGGTAGCCCTCGATTTACGCCGGGGATGCGTTCCTGGACGAACCAGCATAAATTGAAACTCTTTTATAATGTAAATCAATAGGAAGTCAATGACATGAATTCCCAGCACCCAAACATTGACAAATAATATAATGGCATTACATTTAAAGCTCTGAAATAAAGTAAATAAAATAAAGGGAATTTAAAAAATATATTTTATACACTTACAATCGCAATTCGTGCATATGCAAAAGTTTGCATTTCACAAACAGCTTTTACCGATTCATCGATCTCATTGGAGCAAATTCACGTTAACGAAACATACGTAATTGCAGAGATGACTGTATTTATAATTTTTATTCAAAATCAGCGATGTAAGAATTACGATTTAGTATAAGAATCAGTACGAGATACATTGTAAAACGTTATAAATAATAGTAAAATATATTTTTTTCACTTTTTGACGTGGTGGTTTCAAAATCGGCGTTATTCTGAATCGGCGCAAATCGAGGGCTACAATGCCTTGGTTCTATACCTGCTGCTGTGCCTTGCGAAGTTCTGTGATGAAATTTTTGCTGGTGACATTTCACACATATGAACAGAATATGTGAAATGCAGATATATATATTTCAGAATGGAGAATGAGGGTTATGAGGTAAGAGTAAATCCATGACCACTGTTCTCGATAAAATGATAATGGGTGCACATACCTGCTTCGAAACGTCTTTGCACATATTATGCAAGAATGTTGGAGCACATTACCAGGATAAACATGAGACAGTTTGTGCAATCGCAGACTTGTGAAGTTCTTCATGCTCTTCCCACATACATCACAGAGGAATGCAGCTTCACTGTGGCTAGAACAATGATTATCATAACTTGCTCTTGACCCAAATTTTCTTCCACATATGTCACAATGAAATAAGCTTTTGGCTTTTTCATGAATAAATAAATGGTCTCTAAGAGAACGCCATAAATGGAAGTACATTCCACAATGCTCACAAATAAAATACTTTGCATCAGAGTGATGTATATAGATATGGTGATCAAGACTTTTCTGTGACTGGAACTGCTTATCACAACAGAAACAGGAGAACTTAACTTGAGGATGAACTCGACAATGTTCTCTATACTTCTTCTGTGAAGTGGAAACATGGTTACAATGACTACATTTCCAAGTTTTATATTTCTTTACTTTTTTCTCTACCCTAAATTTTGACTTCACTGATTTATAATCTTCCAGTTTCTTTTGAGCTTTCTTTCTCATGTTTTCAGATGTACTTGCTCCAACTTCGGTACGATTGCCATTCTTTCCAATAATTTTATTAATGGTTTCACAAATTTTTGGTTTATAATTCTCAGTTTCTAGGCTTTTTAGTACTGGCAATACACCATCAGGTTTATTGTCTAATGGATGTGGATTGCATGCCCCCAATTCCTCTCTTTTGTCCATGTTTCCAGCACCATAACCAGTAAGTTTGCTATTATTTGATACAGATGGCTGAGTTTCTTCCAAACAAACAGAAGGTTGTAACTCGAGGTTGTGATCAGCATGAAAGTCCCTTCTGACAATTACGTTATGCTTCGATTCTTCCAAATGACATTCCTGATGCTCATCAAATAATTCCTTGGAGTAACATACAGCACCGCACTGTTCACAATGGAATATTTTATTACGATGAGAAGTTATCTGATGTGAAATGATATCATCTTTACTGGCAGCAGTTGTCCCGCAATACACACAATGCAAAGATTGCTCCATCTGTGTACAGCAATGGTCTGCACGTGTATTTGCAGGTTTCTGCTGTTCCACTGCCTCAGATGTTGCATCTCCTGTGGAAAGTGCAGGGTGTTCTGGTCTAGATGATTCTGAACTAGCTGACTGTTCGTGTTTGAGTGTTTGTTGTGAAATAAATTGTTTCCTGAAAAACAATGATATGGATAATTTTTTCATTTTCTACAATACACAGTGTTCTATAGAAATTTGGAATTCCATAACTGCACAAAGATATATTCTTCTTTAGAAGTTAATTAGTCACTCTGCTAGTCAAGAAATTTCCTACCTTTCATTATGATGCCTGAATGTTCATTACCTACCATGTTCACATCAGCTAGCCACTGAACCCCATCCTGAGCCATATGAATTCAATCCAAACCCTCACACCTAATGTCCTCTACATCCATCCTAGATCACTAGGTTAAAACCAAATATTTATTAATACATCTGAAAATTGTTTCAGACCTCGGAAAATCATATACAGTCAACAAGCATCAGGAAAAGTAATTAAACAGTTTACCAACCACTACTGTCCAAAACTGTTTTGTTGTTGTTTCCTGGCTCTACAACCCAGTTGTGGGTTTTTGCCGCCTCCTTTTTGGATGTTTGTTGGTATTGAAGTGTGCATTTATGAGCAGTGAGTGACCAGCCCACTGCCTCTGCACAATTTCTACTCAATCCTGATTTTGACTGCCAGAGCCATCTAGCAGTTAATCAGGAGACTTCGGTGAGAAATAGCTGCTGAATTTTGCTTACGAAACATCTCGTATCGTGCTCATAAGGTTCTTTTACATGCCGTAAATCTACGACATCAGATTGCCGGCTTTACTTCCCCTCCGAAGGAAGTTGTGCTACGGATTTTATCACCATTAAAAATCCATCAACCTTGGCCGGGCTTGAACCTGCGAACCTTGGGTCCAGTGGCGAGCACGCTAACCACTAGTCCACCAAGGGCGACAGAACTGTTATGAGTCCGCTATAAAAAGAGTATTATTTGTCTAAAACTAGCACAGCTGCTTGTTTGTCTGTTATGCCGAGCTAGATTTTATCCAGCAGAAACAAAGCATATGATGTGAATTTCAGCTTTTCATGTATCACTATGATGGAAACAGAGAAAATGTAACAGACTTCTCAGTTAAACAGTAACATCAATATAGACTAAAATCCCAATGTTTTAAGAGTCTTTCTGTCTCAAACATCAGATTTTGATGTGACAAGAAACACTGTACAAACTAGCCTACAAAGGCCCAGTCTCTACTAGTCAAGACTGGACAATGTTAGACTAAGATATTTAACTATAGTCCTACCTAGTTATCTGGCCATACCATAGCTCAGGCAGTTGGTAGACAATGGCTTCTCACCAGCGGAACTCAAGGTTCAGTCTTGGGTGACTTCAAGTGAGATTCACGGTGGATAAAGTGGCACTGGAGCAGGTTTCACTCAGAGTTATTAGGTTTTCCTGTGCTAATCATCGTTCCACCACCATTCCACACTTACCTAGTCTTCACCAAGCAGCATGTAACATACCCTCAGTCCTAAGTTACAGGCTTCATCTAGATCAGACCTGCTTTTATCTGTTCATGATCACTGCTCTGTTATGAAATCCCAAAACTCAATACTGAATTTAAAATTTTCATCTCCCTCTCTTCATCAGTCGCAAACTTCCAACAAAACTTGGACAGTCAAGACTCATGCTCCTGTCTCCAATGCTGAACGTGACAGCTAGTTACCGTACTCAAGTCACATTTCAGATCGGCTACAGCATATTCCACTTCCCATTTTAAAAACCATTTGAAGTTACAGCTAACAGCAACCAAGTCCTTGCAATGGTCAGACAAAAAACTGTTACTCACTTGTTAGACGCAAGATCTGTCTTCCTTGCATTCATCATAACATCTAAAGCCTTCCTCAACTTTGCATCTTTCACTTTCATAACAACTATTTTGTATACTGGTTTCTTTGTTTTCTGGAAAATACACGAAAAATATACTTTTAATCCCACAAAGCTGACAATCATTCAGTTACTCAAAGAATGTGATCAACTTTGATGGAACCAAAAGGTTTAGTGCCATGTTTATAAGAGCCCACATGAATCCAGTCATGCCACATTTTTAAAGACCCATTTTTATACATTCTTTGTGCATTCATCACTACAGCACTAGTCATATGCGTCTGTATGTCCGCATCAATGAACTCAAAGATGCAATGGACAGATATGGATGGGCTTATAAGGTGATTTTTATTATGGTAGAAAATAGAGAACACCAAAAATTATCAGCTTCTACTTCAAGATTTAAACAGCTTCTTTTTCAGGAAATAAAAATTGGTTAATGAACTGAGAGAAAATTAATAACTGGAATTTTGATGTGAAGGAAGAATTAATAGATATGTGAAGTCTCTTTATGCTTAAAAGAAATGGAATTAATAGATATGTGAAGTCTCTTTAAGTTTAAAAGAAATTGTTAAATTGCAACGTACACATACCATTCTTAACATTTTTACAGGCCCACCACTTCTTTGTTTCACAGAAATTGCTGCAGAATCCACATCGTTTAGAGAATCATGTATTTGTTGATTGAATGAGCCTTCTTGTACTTCAGTATTCTGTAGCTGATAAGAATGATGATCAAAGTCACCAGTTTCATGTTCTATTACATTCACACCTTCTTCGTCTACTTCCGTATTCCATTCAGTTACAGTGGCTGCAATTTTTGTGTACTTTGCATGATGAGGCTTATCAATAGCTTCACATTCAATGCCACTCACACTTCTTACATCTACTTGAGTATTATGTTCAGCTGCAGATAATGGAATATTATTATCTTCTGCACAATCAGGTTTACGGTCTTCTGATTTCATTGACTCTAGCATACAATCTGAAAATACCTGATCTGCAGAATCTTCAAAAATGTTTGCATTAACTTCTTCTTTTATTATTCCTGTAGAAGGTTCCTTAGCCATTCCTAACTGATACTCAACAATATGGTCATCACTGTAAAATATCTGTAATTGATGGAAAAAGAACTATATAATAAATGCAGTAACTCACACACACAAGAGATAAAAGGCTATCAGAGCTACAATATTATATTGATTCATACACCAGAACATATACAGGATCTTAGGGTTGGATTATACTGTGACAAAATCCAAACATATGTTTACTTACACTGTGATCCACTTTCAAGCCAAGAATTGTTCTCAACTTTGCATCTGCATCCAAGCATCCATTAACAAATTCATGGCATAATTCAAGTTTATAAATACAAGATGTGCACAGAGTCACTGGCAGCAAATCTTCTGGAGTCACCTGAAGTGAATACACAGAAAAAAATTAAGACGCTTTACACGGACATGTGAAAGGAACATCATTATCCAACGTTAAGCCTTTGCATATCTACAGAGTGGGTCATTTACTAGTCACTTTATTGCATTCCAGCAACGGGGAGATGTATCGGTGAAGGGGAAAGTCTAGACCACACTTAGGTGTCTTTCATTGAAAAATAGTGTTCATATAGTGAAATAATCATGTAGATCATGGTAGTATGGCTACGAGTAGTAGTGATAATGATGACCAACATATTAACAGTACTGCAAAATGATTCACTGCCATTTATAGCCATGCAAAAGTTTGTTGCTACATAGCATAAAACAATTTCAATTATGGATGAGGTTAATACAGTAAAAATGAATAGTGATAAAAATATTCCATCTCCACAAGAATTCTATTTATAATCATCTGTACTACATCAACAAATGAAAATGAAAACAAAATCATTTTATCACTAGTCCTGCTTTAACAGCAGTACAAAGTGTGACACTATAATAGGATTTGATTGTATATTATTGTACATAATGCAAGTACTGAATAGTTTATAAGTATAAACATAAAATCAAGGCCCTCTACTTGAAACTAGGCTGTCCTCTAAAAAAAAAGTTACTGATAAACAAATGAGTAGAGATGAGCACACAGACTATACTTCAGATAGAAGTTTTTTAATGACAGCAATAAAGAAAACCATGACAACAGGACTGCGATGTACTACAGCCCCCTTCCCCCTTTGAATTTGTAAATGAGTCATTCAAAAGACCAAGAAGCAAAGAACACACAGAAACTGCATACTCTGTATAGAGCAGACTGCATCTTTCTAATATTGTGTTTAATTATCTAAAAGATCACAATAATTATGAAAGGTGCAATAGACATAATATGCATTTATTTTTCTCTACAACTTTATTTTCAAACAATTTATTGAACCAGTATAATATTGGGCATCTTACACTTCAGATTCCCACAGAAACACATGTACTGTCCGCAGATCACACGAGAAAAGCCCTGCGGGGGGAAGTCGTTTCTGGGGCGGTGCAGGGGGAATGTTTACTATCAAGTGGACTACAGGGCTGCTATTGGTGGGAAGTGTGATACATCACTACTACACACAGACTGAAACATCAAGCAGTTAAGAGTAGCATGTAGTGAGTGCACTTCTAATGTGTTCTGTGGGTGTTGTGATATTATTTTTTTATTATTTATTATTGATTGCAAATGGGTTTTTACCCAGTGGCAGTGGTCCTACAATAAGATACAAAACAATAAGACACAATAGAACAATGAGACACAACAAAACAATGAGACAGAACAAAACAATAAGACACAAAAAAACATAAGACAAAAACAATAAGACACAGCAGAACAATGAGATACAACAAAACAATGAGATACAACAAAACAATGAGATACAACAAAACAATGAGATACAACAAAACAATGAGATACAACAAAACAATGAGATACAACAAAACAATGAAACAGAACAAAACAATAAGACACAACAAAAACAATAAGACACAACAAAAACAATAAGACACAACAAAAACAATAAGACACAACAAAAACAATAAGACACAACAAAAACAATAAGACACAACAAAAACAATAAGACACAACAAAAACAATAAGACACAACAAAAACAATAAGACACAACAAAAACATAAGACACAACAAAAACAATAAGACACAACAAAACAACACACCACACTCAAAATAA